GTGTATCCAGTCGTTTTTTTTGTGAAACAAGCGATTTTATCATGGCTCGATATATTACTCAACGATCTGTCGATTACAAAAATATTAGTTTAGCAATATTAAACAAATATCCGGAAGTAGGAAAGAGGAACAATTTTCAACTGGTAAGTGTTTCTTATCTGTTTTTTATCGTTACTTAAATCTGCTACTTTTGTGCAGAGAAGTTTGTCTACCCCATTATCACTTTGCATTCGAAATAAGAAGAGAGAACAACGACGAAAGTTTGGACTTTTAAAACCAAGAATACGAACCAATACAAAATCAAAATTAAATCTCACGCAACACATAAATAAAGGCAGAAATATGGTTGATCCAGATACGGTAAGCAACAACGGACATTAAATAGTAGGACAGACTTCACGACAGACTTTCGCGCATCTGTGCTTGCATTTTGTAGCTCTCATTCGAAAACAACACAGAAAAACAAACATTTACATTTTCAACAGATGAATTCAGCGATAATAACGATTTCGTACGTAATATAGTGGATAATCACAATGAATATTAAAAAACTTTGTGATAAATTTTATCTACCCTCTGTTAAGATCAATTACTCTAACTTTATTACTTTTTAGCAGCTGTTGGCTGATAATAGCGTTGCAACTATGAGAGATACAGCATTATCTGATTTTGATAAGGTAAGCAATAAGCAACATTAAGAAGACATATTTTAGTCAGGAAAGTCGTCTATGATATACCAGAGAAAAATGTGGGAATTATACGAAAAGAATCTGTGAATTTGTGAATTTTTTCTATATTTTCAAGCAGATGGACATGAATGATGAGGAAGTAAATCTGATCACAACGGGAAATGCTTATGAAATAACAATAGAGACTTCAAGAGATCACGATGCATCGGACGTTATTACAGAACAACCAGAAGAAGCAACACCAGATCCATATGCACAACCAACTCAAGAACAACAATTTCATTCTTCAGCAACTGATTACTGTTTGTTATCACAGACAACCCAACAAAACTTAATTAGTTTAAGTGTTGAGCCACCTAAATTAAATATGCGTGATCAGAATGTAGTCAAAAAAGCAAAAAAAATAGCAGCCAACGCGGCTTTCAGTGAAAATCAGGATCCATTTGAATCGGATAGTCAACACACAGTTGTCGAGGAGACAAAATCCGTAACAAGAATTTGTACACCAACATCGGTGCGTGTGGCTCGATCAAACAGATTGTTATCTACTGGTAACACAAGCGTTTGTTTGCTTATTTTTACCGTATATTAGTATAGTTGTTTCTGTTCTTAGCAAATATGAATGTGCAAGAAAATTTCAGTTTATCTCAACCACCGTCATTTATTTATCCTAAAATTGGTAAAATGCTTAGGTTTTTGTGCTATGTAACGTAAGGACGAGTGTCTTCATTTTTTTAGTGATTTCAAGTTCAAATTTATCGCAGTTACATGAACAACCACCTCCTTCTTTGCGTACAGTACCAAGTAAGAAACCTATTTCTCCATGAGCGTTAATGGTTAACTAACAGTAATTTCTGTTTAGTTATTTCGAATATTCAACGACTGGGCTCATTTCGTCCCATAACTAGTAATGTTCCTTCGAACGCTAGATCTTAACTAATTTAAGCGAACAACTCTTGTCTATTTACATTTAGTCCGTCCGACTGCTCCTCTTGTGTTTCAGTCAACAAAAACTGTACCAACAAATACATGCACAATTTCCAAAGATACCACATTTTCAGTATTAAATTCGGTGAATAAACCAACGGTGAACAAAACAATCAGTGCCGACGCGTACAATACCTTGGTAAATGAACTACGTGAGAGTATAAAAAGAATAAATAAGCAAAAAACTACAAATGTTAATCCAAAAAGTATCATCCACATAAAAACACTGCAGCAAATGTCATTGTTACAACGACGTAATCTAATGAAACACAAACATGATAAAGCATCCTTAAGTGATAAAGCGATATTATATCCCGAATTACTGAATGAAAACGTGGTGCGTATATTTTTATTTGAAATTGTATCATTATTGGTTCAGTAGTCATATTAATGAACAAATCTTTTTTTATATAGATATTGTATGAACACGAATTATTAACAGGTCGAACAAAAGACCTAGATGAAAAAGCAATCAGAATAACATTAGATTATTTTATTGAAAAATATAGATTCAATCTAAAGGTAAGTGCTAGTATTTATAATGTAATCTAACACGCTAAGTTTCGTAAACTTGACTTTTTTATTTTAGAATAAACAGAGCGAGTTAGATTACTTAGCGTTGCAAAAACTTGCTGCTGATTTAAACACAACATGTTTCATTTCTAAAGAAAAGAAAAAGGTAATTTACAGACCATTACTGTACCCTCCGAAGAAGTCTGTTTTATTTCATTAAACGAATCACTATTTTTATAGGGTAATGAGAAGCGGTTTGGCTTTTATATCGGGCACGAATTTGAAAAAGCAGTGATTGTTGTTCCCACAACACCGACATCAGCCAAAATTCCAGTCACAATCTTCAGTAGTGGCTTACAAAATGGTTTGTTAGTCTTCTTATCATTATTTGTTGTTTTTGAAGCTGGTTATCCGAGTGATGTTACATTACTTTTACAATATCTTCGTGCAGAAATAAACATGCATCTTTAATAAACAGATTTTTTTACTGTTTATTCTCTGTCTTTCGGTTTTGTCCGAAAATGTGCCTTTCCTTTCATTCGGAGTCTTTTATACTATGTAAATAAAGAAATTTTTTTTCTGTTATGCTACAACTGTATTACAGATACAATTATTACTTTGACTTCTATTTTCTGTTATGTGGTTCTAGAATATAAAAAATATTTTCGTTTATTGTTTTTGTGCTATAATTTTTTGAAAAAGTTGTTTGCCTCCCTGCTATACGTCATTCATACAGCGTAAACGTCGTATGCAACATTGTTGGTTTTTTCAGTTAGTGTTGAATAAAATACTCTTCTATTTATTCTCTATTTATTGCTTATGTTGTTCAACTGGAATGTGAATATAGGTTTTACTTAAGTGGATGACTACATTGGTCATAAATTAATAATTATAATTATTTATTAATTTATGATATCAATGCTGAATCAATCTGGATGAATTGAACATCCAGATAAATAAGTTGTACTTTTACTGGACGAGATATCAGCCAATCAAAGTTCAGTCATCCACTCTAGCTACTGAAAGCTGTCATTGAAGTGGATGACCAAAACTGTATTGGACAATGAAAGTCATCCACTTTTGTGAGGTATTTACTGACTCACAAAAGTGGATGATTTTGAGTTATATAAGTGGATTAACGAATTTGCAG